GAGTGGTTAATGGTGGCCTGCCATATGGTATGGCAGAGTAAATCTGATACACCTCTACATACAGGGATGTGGTCCTCCATGGAGGACCTTCAGAATTATATCCATGAACTAGGAGTAAGGGAAGCAATTTATGAAGACACATTTGATGGCCCTGATATGGTCAAATTCTCAGTGGTGGTGACAGACTTGATTCTACAGCAAGCCCCCTCCCATCTATATTGTACTTTGGTCTCTATATATAAAGTCCCCTGGTGGCCTCAGAAGTGGTAGTCCAGCAGGCTGACCTAGGAGAAACAGAACGCCTGCGGACTACATGCAACATTTAGACTTAAGAAGAAGCTGAGGTCCTGCCAGTGATTAAAACCAAGAGGCTGGCTATTCAAGCTGCTCAATTGGAACCCATAAGGGTTTCTCAAGAACAAATGTCTAATGATTTAATTTGGTCTGGGGTCCAGTTTGCTAAGATGGACTGCCAGCCCAATCATGTCCTTTTCCAGCTTTGGAAAAAACTGAAGGACAATCAAAAATTTCAGACCTACCCTAAGAAACCAAGGGTAAGGGTTATAAATAGGCTGCCAACTGCAACATGGAATTTATAAGACTTCATAGTCCTCAATAGGAGAAAAAGCTACCTGACATCATCCAGACATGATGGGATTGCGATGCTTGCTCTAAGATGAGACCGAGATCATTGCCGGAAATGACGGTCCATCTTGCTGGAGGATGCAATCCTCTCCAGTGATGGCAGGTTGATTCCATTGGGCCCCTTCCTCAGTCTGAGGGGGTGAGATATGCCCTGACCTGTGTTGACGCTGCAAGTGGGCTACTGCAGGCCTATCAAACAGAAAAAACAGTACTGAAAACAAACCAGGTGTTATACCATCAAGGCACTCACTAAACTGAGGTCTGCCTACGGGACACCTCAAGTCATCAAGAGCGACCAAGGGACTCATTTTGCTGGTGTAATGATACAGCGCTGGGCAGAAGAAAATAACATCGAATGGCGATTCCACCTGCCATATAATCCAACGGGGGCAGGCCTCATTGAACGTTATAACGGTATTCTTAAGGCTGCCCTGAAGACAGGCTCCCAGTCCCTGCAGGGGTGGATGAAAAGACTGTATGAAACCTTGCGGGACCTGAATGAAAGACCCTGAGATGGCAGACCCAGTGCCCTGAGAATGCTGCAGACAATGTGGGCCTTCCCGCTTAGGATCCAAATTACGGGCACTGATCATCAAGTAAGACCCCAGATTGGTAATGGAAGTAATCTTCTGCTCCCTGCCCCTGAGAATTTAGATCCAGGCACCCATAAAATAAAATGGCCTTGGAAGGTGCAGGTAGGACCCAAGTGGTGTGGCCTACTTGCACCTTGGGGGAGACTGTTGGAGGTGGGAGGCTCAGTGGTCCCTCCAGTAATATGTACGTGGCCTACTGATATTGTGGTCAACACTCTGGTTTTCATTGCTAAAGGGTCCCCCATCATGTCTCTGGCATATCAGGACCCCCCCCCGTGGTGCCTGATATAGTTATGCAGCTGCAGGCATCTGGCCAGAGGGTGTGGTACAGGCGGCCGGGACATGCCCCAGTACAAGCGGAAGTGTTGACCCAGGATAGAAATACGGCCTGTATCTTGCCCTGGAGAGCAGACCTTCCCCTCCTGGTACCTCTGAAACATCTGTATTACTCCCCGTGAGTCTTTGAGCCTTCAGGATCACCGGAAGGAATGAAGTGCCATCAAAGCCTTCTAGTGTCACTGTCAGATCACGTGCAACACCTGGTGATGGCCTACATGGGACTGATGGAGCCTAGGATGGACCTGCACCTCACGACTGCATGCCTCCAGTAACATCATCGAGCACTGGCCCATACAAGAAAATCAGCGTTCACCAATCGTCACTTGTCTTGAATTGTACTAACATGCATCGCGATGGAAATTGTATAAGCATCACAAAGTATCAGTTTTCTGTATCGAGAAAGCTTACCCTTTAGTCAACCTAATTATTGGTTCATGCTGTGAAGGGGTGGGGTGGAGTGTATGGGAGCTGCTGAGTCAGGGCCTGAACCTCTGATAGATCACCTGAGGTGAGCAATGAGTTAGCCCTGGGAGCACAGGTGAAGGCAATTCACCTGTGCTGCTGGAAGGGGTGGAGCCTGGCTCCACCTCTCCTAGACCCATTTAAGAGCTCACTGCCACTGGGGGATGATCTCTTTTTGGTGATTGCTTCTCTTGGAGTCTTCTCAGCGAGCCTGGGTCAATGGGAAGCTTTCGATCTGTTCTTCTTTATTGTGGTAACCTGTTTAGTCTAACTTTTTTGTATATTTCTGAATTATAATATCTGTATATTCATTGATTATACTCTGAGAAGGCAAGCACTGAGCATCAGGCATAGGGGACTGGGGAGGAACCCAAGCTTGTCCCAAGGCTTTCCATCCCTGGGGCTTCCTGCAGCCTCATCCAGCATGCACCGAGCAGAGCTAGGGCTGTGTTCTGTTATCACTGAGCATTCATGGCACACTGCCTTACAGCTTGAGCATATTTCCTGTTTCATTTTACCCTGTGCAATATGGAATGCTTTTTGATTAAAATGACTATCTGTTGTGTACAGCATAGAAAGACCTTCCAGTTCAGGCCATTAATTACTATTGGCAGTAGGCGATTAAGAAAATACAAAAGGAAAAATTAGACTGAGTTTTACAGACTTTCAATGCACAGTTAAATGTTTTCTTTGAAGTCAATGCATTCAATATTGTGTTTTGGCATGAGTCAATATTGCAGGCACATTCACACCAAACAACAATAACATTGCTGAATTATTCAAAATGGGTTATCACATTTTTCTCCACAAGCAATGGTCGTGATGTGGATATGGCACCCCATTGTAACAAGAACCAGGCTCTGTAACTCACAAATGTGATGACATATTTACATGCGCCATACACTGTGCAGGCCACATCCTGGTTGTTCTGAGGCCAACTGAGACTTTGGGGGGGGGGGGTGTCAGGACCAAGCAGTAGTTCTGCTTGTGACACATTTCATGATATGTGCAGCCTTGCATGCTATTCACCTGAGACTGAACCTTGGCCTTTGTCAATATCAGTTATTTAAAAATAAGTAATGCTTTCAGTGTGGCCATTAAATAATCAATCCTTTATTACAATTATGGCCATATTTTTATTATTTATCTTTTTATTCAAAACAACTCCATCAGGCATTGAACTGTATAGCCATTAGAATAAAGAGATTAGTTTACAGAAAACCTGCTTTCTAAATATTTTGTTTTTGCAACCTCTGTTCACAGTTAGCTATGTTTCACAAATACTTGCCTTTTGGTATACTCCACAATTCAAACTGGTAGCCAAAATGTTTTGTTTTTTTTTTTTTGTTTTAGTGTATCCTACTGCCATTCACTGAAAAGATGCAAGCAACTAAAACACAAAACAAGGATGTAAAGAGAAGGAAAGATAACACACCTATTCTATATACACTTCTTCCTTCCATTCCCCTCTTGATGGCTCTGTCCCAGCACTGTCACCACCCTATCCTCATCTCCATTGTGGGCCATCCCTGTGTTCCTGCAGTGTCATCACCTTGTGGCTGCCACTAGGAGCCCTTTCCCTAGAGCTTCTCCTGGCACTGTAAGCTGAAAGGTTTTGTACTTGTAAGAATTGATTGTGTTGCATTGTGTGCTTTCATTTAGCTATATTTCTGTCTAGACATTCAGAAGTAATAGTGAATAGTTTCCCTGAACCATCAGGAATTCATTTAGATAGACAGTGAAGGGAAGGTTGAGGATCAAGAAAAGGGGAAGGAAGAGTCTAGCTAACATGCTAATGAACACAGAGAGGATTTGCTGTCCTGGACACAAAGGCTGCAACTGGCAGATCCAGGAGTAGGGAGTCAGGTTTTCCAGGCAGAAGCATGCTTGCTATTTTAACCAGAACACCATTTTCTGCCCTGAAAAGATGCTTGTTCAAGGAGCCTCTCTTTCTTATTCATTTTCTTTGTCTGCACCTTTGGGTCATCGCCTCACTGAGACACAAGCCAACCCCCCCACCTCCATCAACACAACCTGGATGGCACCTTGAGGCTGAGGGACACCAGGTAAAGCCAGTGGCCTCAGGCACTATGCTGAGACCCTAACGTGGAGGTTTAGCCAGCATGTATCTCCAGTACAGCTCAATGGCAAATTGCACTGGAAATAACTAATCACTGTATGTCATTAACAACTGGTGGAGAATCCTTCCTTCCCCGTGTAATTTCTGTTTATCTGCTTTTGGGTGTGTTCTGGCACCCAGAGAACAATGTCTGGCAGAGATGGGTGCTCCCTGTCCTGCTGCTGCTACAACACAAATAATAAATGGCAATATTAGTAATAAATCATGCAGCACCACACAGCATAGAACTAGTGTTGTTTAACAGCAATGTCTCCTTAAGGACGCTTGCTACAAGTCATGCTCTGTTGTATGAGCAGTGACGAGTGCAGGCAGTGAGGCAAGTTAGCAGTGCCCAAGGGCTGATATGGGATTGTGCCTTGGAAAAGGAACTTTGCAGCCATCAGCCTCCTGCACAAGTATGTCTAAAGTTGTGGGTGCCAGGCTGGTGGTGCCAGAGAGCATCTGAGCCCCTTCGCAGCTCCAAATGTCCATTACCAAAGTAAAAGCCAGAAAATGCTACATAATAGCAGCATAGGGAAGAACAGGGCATTTTCAAAATGGCTTTAAAACTCTCAATATTCATAGCCAGTGCAGAGGGGTGAAGTTTCCTCCCTGCTGAAATATGCCCAATTTGGTTGTGTGCCAGATGCAGTCACTTTTCCCCCAAAGTGTGGGTGCTGTGCGCTAAAATTTGCACTTTTAAGGTATGATTTTAAATTGCCTTTTGCATCTTCTTCCAGTGTATAATCAGTTCTCAGCATCATACAGAATAATATTAAAATACTTTGAAGCATACTTGTTTTAATAAGAAAAACAGTTGCTTTACAGACTCCTTTATCCTGAGGCATCATGGCCAAGATTTTCAAATACGAGCAACCCTAAGATTTATCTTTTTTGCAACCAGTCTGACCATCAAAGGTACTTAGAAAGTTGCATCTTCCCAAATATCTGTTCTTGACTGCAACATGAGACTGCTAATTCAGTTGTCTGGCTGGGGACTTAGCAATGTGAAAGAGGACTCTGGGAATCACATCTCCTACTCTCTGCATTCCCACTGTGCTTGTTTTCCTCTCAAGGCCATTTCTCAGAAATTGGGCTGCCTCAACCTCACTCCATCTCCCCCCTGATCTGGTGCCAGTGGAGCTGTTGGGGGGGGGATGCTTTCCTGTGCAGTTAACTGGGCTGGGAATCCTATCCCCCCATTCTCCACGTTCATTGGGGCACACGGAGGGATGAGGAAGCCATATTTTGACCTCCATATTGTTCTTAAAAAAAAAAAAAAGTAAAATTCAGTAAATACAAAAATATGCAAGCAGTGGAAGTGGGGTTCCACACTGAGGAACTTGTAAGTGACAATTAACTGGGGTTTTGGGGTGGCTTTTACAATTGGCCAAGGCAAGTCTACGTATGCTGAACTACTCATAGCAACATATGTGAGAAAAACATAATTCTAGTTCTAATCTGAAAGGAACAATCAAATTAAGATGTTTAGAGGCATTTAGTGGAATGCTGAAATATGAAAAGATTTTAAAACAGATTTAATAGCATATGTATAAAAGCAAAATATTTCACCTTTGCTGTGCTGCTGCATGAATAGCATTCACAGAATTTGATAAATGCTTCTGCATTGCTAAATATGCTTAAACCCTTTGATGAATGGTGACAGGAGTGATTAAAAAGCATCTTTATATTATGGAAAATATATTAGGGTGAGTGTATATATATATTTCTTTTAGAATTGTATCTGAAGAACATTTAACTCAGATTTGGGCACATTTTAGACCATCATTTGGGACTTCAAGATTTAGGTTCTTAGGCACAATGCAACAAGGTCAGTTTGGCCAGTCCTTCACCATGCATCCTATAGAGGAGCTGGAACTCTGCAGGCAGCTGGTGGGACTCCTGCCACTTGGTCGTAAACTTGGTTCCTTTCTTGTCATAGTAGTGATATGGGAGGTCCTCCCTTGTGTTGGGGTCAAACCCAAAGGGCCAGAATCCATACAAGTGAATTTCTTCACAAATAGCAGAAGCAAGGGTATACATGAGAATACCTGTGCTCAGCCGCTTTGGTGACAAGTGTTTGTTTTTCCAGTATCTGTGATAAAAACAAAGGCATGTTAGTATAGGGTACAAGTAATACCATGGGGTTGCTGTAAGAAAAAAAAATATTACTGAATGGAGACCACCAAAAATGCTACTGCATGGAGACAATCAATGCTCATAGCTGATAACCTGAGTAAGGTAAGGCTGTTCAGGACATTCTGTAAAGAACAGGAATGCAGAAAAACCATTTTAGCACTCTCATCAAAATTCTCTTTTGAGGTCTCCCTAGAATCATAGAATCATTAAGGTTGGAAAAGACCTCCAAGATGATCCAGTCCAACCATCCACCTACCACCAATATTTCCCCAATAAACCACATTCCTAAGTACCACATCTACATGTTTCTTGAACACCTTCAGGGACGGGGACTCTACTACCTCCCTAGGCAACTTGTTCCAGTGTCTGACCACACTTTCAGAGAAGTTTTTCCTAATATCCAACCTGAACCTCCCCTGGTGCAATTTGAGGCCATTCCTTATAGTCCTATCACTAGTTATACGTGAGAAGAGGCTGACCTTCACCTTGCCACAACTTCCTTTCAGGGAGTTGTAGAGAGAAATAAGGCCTTCCCTGAATCCCCTCTTCTCCAGACTGAATAATCCCAGTTCTCTCAGCCACTCCTCGTAACATTTGTGCTCCTTCACCTGGTTGTTGTTGTGGAGGACCCGGCACTTGGTCTTGTTGAACCACATCTCGTTGGCCTCAGTCCATCAATCCTGCCTGCCTAGATCCCTCTGCAGGGCCTTCCTACCCTCAGACAGATAGACAATTCCTGCCAACTTGGTGTCATCTGCAAACTTACTGAGGGTGCACTCAATGTCCTCATCCAGGTCATCAATAAAGATATTGAACAGGACAGGCCCCAATACCAACCCCTGGGGAACACCACTCATTGACCGGTCACCACCTGGATTTAACTCCACCACCATTCTCTGGGCCCAGCCATCCAGCCAGTTCTTTACCCAGCAAAGAGTGTACCTGTCCAAGCCACGGGCTGCCAGCTTCTCCAGAATACTGTGGGAGACAGTGTCAAAGGCTTTGCTGAAGTCTAGGTAGACCACATCAACAGCCTTTTCCTCATCCACCAGGCGGGTCACTAGATCATAGAAGGAGGTCAGGCTGATCAAGCAGGATCTGCCTTTGACAAACCCATGCTGGCTGGGCCTGATCCTCCAGTTACCCCATACATGCTGTGTTATCCCACTCAAGGTGATCTGTTCAATAACCTTCCCTGGTACTGAGGTCAGGCTGGCAGACCTGTAGTTCCCCAGATCCTCCTTACAACCCTTCTCGTAGATGGGAGTCACATTGGCAAGCCTCCAGTCCTCTGGGACCTCTCCAATTGACCAGGAACACTGATGGCGAAAAGTGGCTTGGCAATCACCTCTGCCAGCTCCCTCAGAACCCTCAGGTGGATCCCATCTGGCCCCATGAACTTGTAGCAGTCCAGGTGGAGTAGTAGGTCTGTAACTATTTCCACCTGAATTGTGGGGGGATTTATTCTGCTCCCCCTCCCAGACTTCCAGGTTAGGAGGTAGAGTACCCCAAGGGTAATTGGTCTGACTTTTAAAGATAGATGTAAAGAAGGCATTGAGAACCTCATCCTTTTCCTTATCCTCAGTGATCATATTCCCTGCCACATCCAGTAAAGGATGGAGATTCTCCTTAGCCCTATTCTTATTGTTAATATATTTGTAAAAATGTTTTTTGTTCTCATTAACCCCAATGGCCAGGTTTAGCTCAAGCTGGGCTTTTGCCTTTCTAATTTTCTCCCTGCATATCCTAACAGCTTCCTTCTGCCCCCCCCAAGTTTCCTGTCCTTTCTTCCTCAGGAGGTAGACTCTTTTTGTCCTGGAGCCTCAGAAAGAGTTCCCTGTTCAGCCATGCCGGTCTTCTTTCCTGTCAGCTCATCTTATGGCACACAGAGACAGCCTACTCCTGTTCCTTTAAGACTTCATTCTGGAGAAGTGTCCAGCCTTTGTGGACCCCTTTGCCCTTCAGGACCAAATCCCAAGGAACCTACCAGTGTCCTGAACAGTTCAAATCTGCCCTCCAGAAGTCCAAGGTAGCAGTTTTGCTGGCCTCCCTCCTGACTTCACCAAGAATTGAGAACTCTACCATTTTGTGGTCACTCTGCCAAAGACAGCTCCCGACCACCACATCTCCCATCAGTTCTCTGTTTGTGAACAGCAGGTCTAGTGGAGCACCTCCTTTGGTAGGCTCTCTTATTAGCTGTATCAGGAAGGTATCTTCTACATGCTCTAGAAACTTCCTAGACTGCTTCTTCTGTGCTGTATTGTACTTCCAGCATATATCAGGGAAGTTGAAGTCCCCCATGAGAACAAGGGCTGGCAATTGTGCAACTTCGCCCAGTCCCTTGTAGAATGCCTTGTCCATCACTTCATCCTATTTTGGCAGCAAGCTTCATTTTATCCCCTTCTCCCTCATACCTAGTTTAAGGCCCTCTCAACAAGCCCTGCCAGCTCCTGGGCTAGGATTCATTTCCCCCTTTGAGACAGGTGGAACCCATCTGCAGCCATCAGGCCAGGTGTCAAGTAAACCACCCCTTCTGCATGTGTTTTTGGTTTTCCACCTGGAAAAGCAGATCTCCTTACTCCTGGTCACATGTGCATTTGCTAAAGATGTGGCAATGTTATCCTTGTGTGAATGGCTATAGATTTGCCTAGATCACTCTACAGATGTCTGCTGGCACCCTATTTGCTACCTGAGAGCAAGTTTCTTCCATAAATGGTACTTTCCTTATGCAGAATCTCATTCAAGTCCTCTGCACTCCTTCTGCCTCTGCAAAAGCCATGGTGGGAGCAGTCCCATGACAGCACAGACCCTGGAACGCTTACTAAAGCAATGATGGAACTGTATTTGCTCTGTAAGCAAACAGTGTCAGGTCCTGCCTGGCTAGGCAATGCCTTTCAGATTAGGCATGACTAGGAAAATAAATATAATTGCATTTGTACAGAGAGAAATACATATTTTGACAAGTTAAATGTCAGAGAAAAATACACACCTGTTAACATGCTGCATTATATTTCCTGGCCATGCCAATTGGACCTTTAGTTGGCCTCGATGCTCAACAAAGAAGTCAACCAGTGTTCTTGTGACTGTTGCTGATGTGTGGAAGAAGAAAGCTGGAATCCAAATAATGGCTCCATCAAGCTTTTTTAAACTTAAAAAGAAGTTGTTGCGATCCTGAATGGTCAAAAGATTGTTGTAATACTTTTCCAGGATGCTGGGGTTGAAGGTTGTGAGATTAATTTTCCTTCCAACATCTTTTTGGAATGCCTCAGTTGGAGCAAAATTGCAGCGAAAAACAAAATCAGATTTATCTATTTCTTGCCCACACTGACTTCCGGTCAAGATTCCACTGTTTCCAACCACAGCGCAAACATTGTAATGCTTATTCAGGATCGGTGACACATCTGGAAGCAGCGATCTGAAGTTATTGCTTATAGAAAAAACATACTTATGGCTGGAATAATCATAATGCATCAGCTGTCCAATCTGGACACTATTCTTGGTCAAAGAAAAATTTTTTATGACATCAACATACTGAAGGATTTCTTGCCTAAAATAAAATAGAAAAAAAAAAAAAAAAGAAAACGCTGAGTCACTGAGTTATATTTTCCTTTTGTCTGTGTTGGAGAGATTTTTTTCCAGCTATACTTATTTTTTTATTTCTAGAATATTATAAAGCAATTTACTGAGCAATGCAGTGATGCAATGGCTTTAAAATTAATATAAACAGATAGGAATGATGGAGCTCCTCATACAGTGCTCTGCTTGGTTTTACTGGGGTGTACTGACTGATGCCAGCTACAGATGTGTCTGTGGCTCTTGGAAAAGTGTCAGGATTAAAATATTGCATTCTCTGTTTAAATGTGAGGCATAGAACTAAGAGGACACATTTCCCACATCCACCTTCCTGAAATGTAGTGTGAAACACATTTCTGTCTGTGCTGTGACACATGCCTGGTGAATGGGTTTTCTGCTGCTCCTGCTCTCTGCACACATTTCACTCTCAGTACTGGACCATGGATTTATGGTAATGATGGATATTTTGTTTGCCGTGAGATATCTGAAGCAAAACCAAGAAGTCCAGAATATTCCATTGTATTAACAGTAATGCAGTTGATTTTTTAAATGTGCATATTCCATATGTTCTCATTAGGAAGTTTTGAGTCACAAAACAAGTGACAGTCACTGTCTCCCTTTATGTAAACATAATTCCTTAATGTCTTATTTGAGCAAACATGCCAACATTTTCACAAGCATTATTAGAAATACTTAAAAACAAAAACAAACAAATGAAAAAAAAAAAAAAAAAAAAAAAAAAAAAAAAAAAAGAAAAACCCACCAACCCTGCTCAGGAATTTTCCTAGTGGGGCATAAAATTAGAAAATCAATACCACTTTATTTTCTCATGTTTATGAAAAACAACCTTTCTTCCAGCTTGCATCCTCCAATGTCTAAGTATTAATGGAGTCCCACTGGGTCCCCTAATTATGGGTTATGGATGACAGATAAATGCAAAGGCAGATCCTGAGGCATTAGCTCAAATCATCAGTGGGGTGACACGGAGTTATTTGTTGGTCTCTTCTCTCATATAACTAGTGATAGGACTAGAGGGAATGGCCTCAAGTTGTGCTAGGGGAGATTCAGGCTGGATGTTAGGAAATGCTGCTTTTCCAAAAGAGTGGTCAGGTGCTGGAATGGGCTGCACAGGGAGGTGGTGGAGTCACCAACCCTGGAGGTGTTCAAGGAACATTTAGACTTTGTGTTGAGGGACATGGTTTAGTGAGAACTATTGGTGATACGTGAACGGTTGGACTGGATGATCTTGTAGGTCTTTTCCAACCTTGGTGATTCTATGATTCTATGATTTTTCACACAGAGAGTGGTGACACACTGGATCAGGTTGCCCAGAGAGGTTGTGAATGCCCTGTCCCTGGAGGCATTCAAGGCAAGGCTGAATGTAGTTCTGGGCAGCCTGGTATAGTGGTTGGTGACCTTGCCCATGACAGGGGGTTGAAACTAGATGATCTTTGAGGTCCTTTTCAACACAGGTTATACTATGCTTCTATGATTCTATGATTAAGGATAAAACAATGATGCCAAGAATTAGGCCATACCAAGGGGTGGCTGCTGTCACACCAGCCTGGGAGATCTCAGGGAAAGGATGGAGCAAGCAGGGTGCCATCTCCTCTCAATGGCCCACAACTGCTTATGGGCTCCTCAGATAGGACATGTGAGCAGAGTCACAATGCGGCTTCTAAAATGGCAGGCAGATAAAATCAGCATCCAAAATGGTAGTAGCCGTATTAAATGGTTAAAGGATTTCCTTTTCTTTTACATCTTTATTGCTGCATACATACATACTACAGTAAAGCCATTAAATAACAGAGGCTGGGAAGACATCACCATTTTCACATCACAGTGAAGAAAATAAAAGCCCATCTTGTTTCTCATTAAGCTTTGAGAAAGCTTAAGGAACCAAGAAATTCTTTCTATTGCAACAGTGCAATGTGGCCATGAACCTACAAACAGGAGGCGAAGTCAATGTGCAGTGAAGGCATCTCAGGAGGATCTATGCTTGGTGACCCCCAATGAACTGCCCTCTGCCCACCCCACACCTAGAGTGGAGCTGGAAGCCCCACTACACTTGCTCAGAACTGCTGGGCATGTTTTGCCCTCCATGAGCATGGCTCTTCATGGCTGCTATGGTCTGATTTGTTTCGAGTTTTAAGCAACCAGCTATCGATCTTGAAGAAATGACAATGTCACTTGCACTCTGGGAAACTGGGTCACATTCCATTTGGTAGAAGGATGCGTATTGCACCTTGGTGTCCTGTTCTGAATTAATAAATTCTTCCAAAATGTAAACATATAGGAAAATGCTCTGATTCAGCCTTTGTCTCTCACTGATGGCAAATTACTCAGAATTCAGAGTATTTAGCAGTCCCTGATTATATTGTTTCAAATACTCAGGAGACTCTAGAGAAAATTAGAGGGGGACAAGCAGGATGAGCTGTGCACTTACTTCTGCTGTGTGAATGCCGTCCGATTGAACACCCACTTGGAGGGCTTCTCCTGCAACTCGTGGCCCAGCAAGTTCGTAATGGGAACAAACGAGGGGTCCAGGAACTTCAGCGCGAACTGGGACCTGGAGATGTGCGCACAGAATCACACAGACACAGGGACACACAAACACGGACACACGGACACACAGACACACACAGGCCGCATCCCGTCACCAGTCGAGTCCGACCGGCATCTGCACCACGGACAGCGCCGGCAGAGCCGCGCCGCTTCCCGCGGACCGGGCTGGACTGAGCCGTGCCGGGCTGAGCCGAGCTGAGTCGAGCAGGACTGTATTAAGTCATGCCGGGCCGTGCCAGGCCGTACCGAGTCGTGTTGTGCCGTGATCACGTTGCAGCACCTCCGAGGCACCGAGATTCCCACTCCCGGCCCGGATGTCCTCCGGTCCCGGGGCCGCCCGCTTACCGCAGGCCCAGGGCTGGGCGCAGCGCGGTGTGGGGGGAGTCGCCGCCGAGGCCGCGGGGACTTCCCTGGGTCTTCCTTCCGAGTGCGCCTGGACTTCCCCAGTGCCAGCCCGGGAGCGAGTGGGGGGCGGCTCTCTGTCCCCGAGCCGTGACGGGCCGTGGCGGCCATACCGAGCCGCGCCCTCACCTGAATCCCTCGTGGAACATGTGCATGCGGGGCCCCCTCGGGCTGGCGGCGCGAGGCACGCCGAAGATGTTGTCCTTCTTGAGCGAGACGTAGCTGATGAAGGAGAGGATGAGCAGCGCGATGCTGAGCATCACCAACCCCAGCACGCTGGCCACCCGCACCATCTTGCAGTTCCTCATGACAGGAGGCGGCTCCGCGGCTGGGCGTGTGAGACGGAGTTGCCGCGGGGCTGCATGCAGGGGCGGAGGGCGCGGAGGCGGCGGGGACGGAGACGGTGCCGGCACTGCCGGCAGCTGGAGAGAAAATGGAGGTATCAAACGCCGGCGCGCTGGCATGGCAGCCGGCAGCCGCCCCCCCACGGGTCCTGGCCCAGACGGCCCCGGCCGCTCCAGCGTGCCTCCCCCATCTCCCCTATTAGGCACTTCGCACACCCGGCAGCCCCGGTGATGTCCCCCGGTGCGCCCTCCCCGGCCCTAGGTTCCCTCCCGACAGCTTCGAGTTGCCTCCCCATGATGGTCCTGGGATGTCACACAGTGCCCCCAGCCAGCCCCAGAGTCCCTACAGTGACACACAGTCTGAGGGTGAGCATGGGAGTTTGGCACCCCCATTTCTCTTCACAGTCTGGCATGAGCTGCAGACCTCTTCTCATCAACATTCCCACTCCTTGCCATGGCCAATGGGCAATGGGCAATGGGCAATGGCATTCAAGTGCATTATGGTGTCCCCAGTCCCATGGTGTCTCCATGGTGGGAGGGTCTGGGTGCTTCCACAGCACATTTTCCTGTGCCACAGCCTGCTTCTGGGTGATGCCAAACCCACCCAGAGACCCCTTATTGTGTAAAAACAGGGTGTTACCCAAAGAGCCCTAGCTGCAATTAAACTGCCCTGTAAATCCCACTGAAACTTTAATGTACTTTCAGGGTACTCTACCCTCTGACCTGGAAGTCTCGGATGGAGAGCAGAATAAACCTAGGAGGAAACAATCAGAGACCTACTATTCCACCTGGACTGCCACCACAAGTCCATGGGGCCAGATGAAATCCATCCGAGAGTGCTGAGGGAACTGGTGGAGGTGATAGCCAAGCCGCTTTCCATCATCTATCAGTGTTCCTGGTCATGTGGAGAGGTCCCAGAAGACCGGAGGCTTGCCAATGTGACTCCCATCTACAAGAAGGGTTGTAAGGAGGAGCTGGGGAACTACAGGTCTGTCAGCTTGACCTCAGTACCAGGGAAGGTTATGGAGCAGATTGTCTTGAGGGAGATCACACGGCATGCGTGGGATGCGAGAGGCAGATTGTGTTTTTGCAGTGGAAATTTCCAGTATTTCTGTATGTAGTGTAGGATACGTTTTTTTTCACAAAGAAAGCTGCTGAACAGAGTAAAGTTGAGACTGGGGCGTTCCGACCTGGGTAGAATTGGCACAGGCGTTAGGTAAGGTAATCATGCAAGGTAGGGGAGAGCCTAGCACAGGACAGAACAAACATGCTAACTTTTGGAAACATTTCCCTCCGATCTCCATAGAAAAAGTACAGAACATACCTAAAAACAATAGGTTGGTAACAGACATTGTATGGAAATGTATCAAAGCAACCGGATCAGGAAGATTGTGAGCCTGAGACACTCAATTGTTGGGAAGTATATAGGGAATGGGAAATAAGGGGAATGGAGATAGCAGTCCCTAAAACAATTAATTGGTCAGCTCTATATGCGATCAGTCAGGGACCTAAGGAGTCCCCATCTGAGTTCCTTGATAAAGGAGGAACTATTCGATACTAAACTACTCGATAAGGGGCACTATGAGAAGGCATGCACCTTTAGACCCGGGGTCGAAGATAGCAATTAATTTCCCTCTTTATAGGACAGTCAGCAGGAGATATAAGGTGGAAACTACAAAAGTTAAAATTGACAGAAAGTAGGAATTTGGAAAATCTGTTGGATGGGGCTTGGAGGGTGTTTAGCAATCGAGAGGAGGAAGATAGAAAGAAGGACAGAATAAAACTAGTGGCAGCTCTTCAGGAAGTTGGGGAAACAAAACCTGAAAGATCTATGGAATCCTTAGGGAAGGATCAGTGCGCCATCTGCAGGAAGAAGAGACACTGGAAAAATAAATGCCTACTGAGAAATCAAAGAAAAGGAGGAACTGAGGGCAAGACTAGCAGAACCACTAGTTAAAATAAGACTAGGGAATCAGCAACAGAGTGTGGAGTTTTTGGTGGATACTGGAGCTACATATTCAGTTTTAAATACATCTTTAACCCCAACTAGTGATGAGTTTGTTACTGTAAGGGGAGCCACTGGCCAAAAACCCTTAAAATTCTCATTGGGAAAACAGGTGGGAATACATAAGTTTTTGTATATGCCAAATTCTCCAAAGCCCCTATTGGGATGGGGTTTACTGGAACAATTAGAGGCAGAGATAAAATTGGAGTCAGGAAGGATTGATCTCAAGGTAAAAGAGGACCAATCAGTCAAGGTACTTAGCCTAGCCCTGGCCACCACTCCAATTGGAACAGAAATCCTGCTGGAGGTGCAAAATCAGGTTTACCTAGGGGTATGGGCAGCATAGGTCCTGGAACAAGCAAAATTGGCTTCCCCAATACAAATTAGACTAAAGCCGGGAGCTCAGCCGGTACAGGTTGAACAATATCCCCTACAATCTGCAGATAGGAAGGGAATTCACCTGGTAATTGACCAATTTATGAAATATGTGTTGTTAGTGGAGTGCGATTCAAGATATAGTACTCCTATTTTGTCAGTTAAGAAACCAGATGGGAGCTACCAGACAGTACAGGATTTAAGGGCTATTAGCAAATTAGTAGAGGACTTACACCCTCTAGTGGCGGATCTGTATACTCCGGTTACTAAGCTTTCTAGTGAGTTGCCCTGGTTTACTGTATTGGATCTAAAAGATGCCTTCTTCTTGCCTCTGAGTCCTGAAAGTTAATTGTTGTTTGCCTTTGAATGGGAAAACCCTGATTCAGAAAGAAAAATGCAGCTCACCGGGATGGTACTTCCTCAAGAGTTTAAAAACAGCCCTACTTTGTTTGGGAACCAGCTTGCCAAAGTCTTAGAACAATGGGAGCAACCACCTGGAAAGGGGGTTTTACTGCAATACATGGATGATCTTTTGGGAACAGTGCATTGCCTGGACAGTAAGCTTGTTAAACTTTCTTGGACTTAATGGTCATTGAGTCTCTCCACAGAAAACACAGGCGGCTCAGCAGCAAGTGATGTATCTGGGATATGAGATTACAGCTGGACTTCAAACCTTAAGGACTGCCAGGAAAGAATCCATCTGCCAAACCCCTGAGCTGCAGACTGCCAAGGAACTCTGTACATTCCTAGGGATGACAGGATGGTTCCAACTGTGGATACACAACTATGGACTATTGGTAAAGCCTCTTTATGCTCTTTTGAAATCATATCCAAAGAATATTATATGGGATGGGGAGGCAAGGAGGGCATTCCATCAGCTGAAACAAGAACTCATGAAGGCCCCTGCCTTAGGGCTACCAGACACGACTAAACCCTTCTGGCTGTTCTTGTATGAAAAGCAGGGAATAGCTTTGGGTGTCCTCGCCCAAAACCTTGGACCCTAACAAAGGGCAGTGGCGTACTTCTCCAAACAGCTTGATGAAGTGAGTAAGGGATGGCCAGGTTGCCTGATGGTGGTGGCTGTGTTAGTGCTCAATATTCAAGAAGCCCGTAAATTTACAATGGGCCAAAGAATAACAGTTTTAATATTTCATACAGTGTCTACCATATTGGAGGTAAAAGAAAGGCATTGGCCCTCACCCCAAAGGTTCCTAAAATACCAGGCCATCCTGGTAGAGCAGGATGATGTAGAAATAATTGTAGCTAATATTGTCAACCCATTATCTTTCCTTAGCAGAACTCCTGGAGAACCAGTATTCCGTAATTGCCTGGAAACAACTGAGGCTGTATATTCCAGCCAACTGGACTTGAAGGACAAACCATTAGAAAATGCAGAAGACACATGGCTTACTGATGGTAGTAGCCTTGTAAGGCAAGGTGTATACAAGGCTGGATATGTCATAACTACTGCGGACCAGGTAATAGAGTCCAGTCCTCTTACCCCAAACGTGTCAGCACAGAAAGCAGGAGTAATTGCACTCACCCAGGCATTGGAACTATCCAAAGGAATAAGGATTAACATATGGACAGACTCTAAGTATGCCTTTGGCGTTTTCCATGCCCACTGAGTAATACGGAAGGAGAGAGGATTGTTATCAGCTCACAAGAAGCAGATCAGACACTCAGATGAAATTTTGAGACTTGTGGAAGCAGTATAAGTACTGGAGAAGGTGGCTATTATTCATTGCAAAGCCCATCAAAGGGGAGAGACTTTCCAAGAAGTGGGCAATGCATCGGCCAATCGAGAAGCAAAAAGAGTAGCAGAAACAGTCACAGTAGAAGTGCTATCTTTAATCCCAGATGGTAAAATCCAAATTAAAGGTGAACCCAAGTACTCGAGAGAGGACCAGAAGCTGAATACAGATTTGGGAAGTAGAGTAGGGGAGGACGGGTGGGTCAGAACCCCCCAGAACAAAATAATCATCTCCACTGCCTTGTTATGGGCTGTGATTATGGCTGAACATAGAAAGACTCATTGGGTAACAGAGGCCTTATATAAGTACTTAAATCAACGGGTCATTGCTCATAACCTATATGAAACTGTTAGGCAAGTGTCGCAGCAGTGTGAGATCTGCCTACAGAATAATCCCAAGATAGAGCTCAAGACCCCACTAGGACAAATAGGAAAGGGAAATTGTACGGGACAGCACTGGCAAATAGATTTCTCAGAACTCCCAAGAAAAGGGGAGTATCTCTATATGTTGGTACTAACTGATACCTTTTCAGGGTGGCTGGAGGCATTCCCTTGTAAAACTAACAAGGCACATGAGGTAACTAAAGTATTGTTATAGGAGGTTAATCCAAGATTTGGGGTTTTGTCAACTGTCTCCTCAGATCAAGGGCCCCACTTTATTGCAAAGGTGGTACAACAAATAAATGGGCTGTAGGGAAATGATTGGCAGCTACATGCCTCCTACAGGCCACAATCCAGTGGCCAAGTAGAAAAGATGAACTATCTAAGCAAATTACAGATAGTGAAATTGGGACAAGAGGCTGGGGTATCCTGGCCTCTGACATTACCTTTGGCCCTCCTGAGGATAAGGACCAAACCTTGGGCAAAAGAGGGCTTAAGACCCTTTGAAATTTTATATGGCAGACCTTATGCAGTGCAAGAAGGACTCTCAAACCAAGTGGGGAAGGAAACTTCAGCAGGGTACATAACCAGCCTGCAACGACAGAT